TTCACCTCAGTGTCTGGCCTGGGTCCCTCCTGTGTTAAGGCTGCTTACAGAGGCAAGGGGATGCTAGGAGAGTGGATGGTCAATGATTGATCTGTTGAGAGGATCTCAAGACATGAGACCTTCTCAAGTTGTCTCGCTCAGACTCACAGCTTGTCACAGGACTTTGGTGCCTCCCTATCCTAAGAAGGTGACTTCTGAGAGCCTCACCATGATGACCTAGGATAGATGCCCCTGAGGCTTGCAGGTGAGGCAGGCAGCAGGCTGCCTTTGGCCCAGTGCTGTCCCCAGCCTCAGAGACCATCTTTGGGAAACAGGGAAGTTCCTTTTCCAGAAGAGAGAGGATGTGGCAATGCCCAATACACAGGGTTGACTATAAATTTACCTCAGATATTGTGTTCTGTGAACCACAGTTCCCTCTTGAACCACATGGGAAGATCCACCCAGTTAACTGAGTTCTGAAAAGAGATGGCATCTCCACTCCCATGAAGTGCTCCTCTAAGAACAGCTGAAGTGGAAAGGGATGAGGTGGAGAGACAAAGTCTCATCTTGGCTTTTGGCTTTTTAAGATGGAGTCTTACTATGGAGCCCTGGGTAGCCTAGAACTTACTATATAGACCAGGCTGGCCTCAAACTTATGGTAATCCCTTCCCAAGTGTGAACTCACAGAGATGCACCACGACACCCAACCTGAACTTTAAAGAACTTTTTGGCTTAACCACATTTCCTTTCTGTTCCCAAAGCTAAGTCACTTCCTGTAGATGACAGAGTTAGTTCCCTGTTGGTAGGGGATCCCTGACCTCAGCTTATACTTTCCTAGTTCTAGAGTCATCCTGTGGATAAAGGCTCTCCTCGTTTGCTTCCATGCTGCCATAAACACCATGACCAAGGGCAACTTGGAAAAGAAAGGGTTTATTTCAGCTTACAGGTTACAGTTCATCACGAGGGAGGCCAAGGTAGGAACTCCAGGCAAGTGCTTAAGCAGAAACCAATGGAAGAATGCTTCTTACTGGCTGGCTTGCTGTGGCTTCCTCCGCTTCATTTCTTATATAATCCATGCCCAAGGATGACACCGCCCGCAGTGGACTGGGCCCTCCTACACTAGTTAGCAATCCAGAAAGTGTTCCATAGAGCAATCTGATGGAGGAGATTCCTCAGTTAAGATTCTCTCTTCCCAGGTATGTCTAAGTTTATGTCAAGCTGACAAAAAACAGCCACAGAGGCCCACCAGGTATTGTTGTTATATCATCAGCAATTAGTGATGGTTCATTAGTCTGTAATTAATCAATGAAACTCAGGATGAGAGCCCATCACTTTGCAGAAGATAACAGCTCCATTTATGCCCTAAGTGACAGACTCTGGCTAGCCTGGATCACACAAGGACTTGAACAGCATTGGAGTCAGAGGAGGGAATACATGAAATGGGGGTCTGACTGTTGGGCTGGGTCTGAAATGAGAGAGGAAAGAGAAGGGGCTTTGGATTGGACTCTACCTGTCTCAGATCAACCCCTCTCCTCTTTAATGATTCCCTGGGCATAGCTTCTTGCCTAAGAGTTCCATGTGGTTTAGCCGAGGCCACAGGAGTCAGGGCTGTCCCTTCCTTTATGTGACCTCAAAGGACCCTGAAGGTGGGCCTGGAATAAAGAAAACTCCAGAAAGGACTCGTTCAGGAGGCCCAAAAGCCTGACTGCCCAAGCCTGCCCCTCCTGTGACTGGCCATGAGCCAGCTCCTGACCTCCTACAAGTCTGCAAGCCTTCCCCGTGGAAAGGTCCTCTTCCTGGGAACATCTCTGCGTTCCCTGCCTTTTCCAGACATCTTCCCTTGCTAGCCGTGGTAGGTGAGCTCAGAGACAGGAATGCAACCATTGACCCACTCTGCAGAGGCTGGCTCTGTAGCTCCTACCCCTGTTGTGGAAGATTGACCTTGGAGAGAGGTCTTCAGGCTGGTAAGTGCCTTCCAGGAGGAAGGTAGACTTGAGGCCTGGGAGTCTGGCTGCCACTTGCCTCCTAGTGGGTGAGGAACCTGGTGTCCTTGGCTCTGGGGCTGACTTGAAGGAGCCTGGTGTGGCAGGGGCAGGGGTTGCCTGGTCTTCTCTAGATAGTCAGGCCCAACCACACACCTGGCAGCTGACCTCAGGGACACCTAGCCTGAACCTGTCTTCCCACCTCCCTCTAGGTCTTCCAGGAGAGCCATCAACAGAGTCTTCGTGGACCTCTTTGAAAGCTAGCAGGACCTTTAGTCTGCCATGCACCCTTCTAAAGATCTGTCCTTCGTTTATCCTTCTCAGGGCCTGCTAGAGTGCCCCACTCTGGGTGTTTCTGGTAACATTGCTTTGGCCCTCCTCCTCCTCCTAAGCACTTTCTAGGTCTCCAGCAACCAGAACAGACTGAATTGGGGCCCTCCCCTTTGCTTGGCTCTCCTGGTGAGCTGTCCTGGGATTGGCATTCTGGATAACCACCCCCTCCCTCACTCCCCATGCAGTTTGCTTTGAAGTTCTAAAAGGACTGGGAGGCCCAAAGGACTGTGGGGCAAATGGGGGGAGATAGGTTCAGATGGGACTGGAAGAGAGCAGAGGCAGCGGGAGGCTAACAGCCAGCCATGGAAGTAAGGACAGGGATGGAGCCGGTGAAGGTAGCAGAGACCTGGTTCAGTCTGAGCAAGCATGAGGACCTGATCAGATCAATCCCCGGCACCCATGTCTGCTGATTTTCCACATCTCCACCCCGCAGCAGTAGCCGGTGGGAAGCAGGCACTGCATTTGCCCTTAGTCATGACATTGAAGGAAAAACAACAACGAAAAAAAAAAAAAAAAGCAAGAAGCTTCTCACTGCCTCCAGCTCCCAACTGTGCTTGCACTTGGCCCCTGGCACCGCACTGGGGTGGAAGCTTCAGGTAGCACAGGCTTAGAGGCCTGGAGTTCATCAGACAATTTCCTCTTCCACCCTGGGGGAAGTGTGGGTCTTTGGGGACAGGGGTTGCATTTTTCTATAGCTTGGGGCCCAAGGTAGCTGCATTCCTCCTCTTCACCCAACCCCAGTCCCATCCTGCTGAGACTGAGCTAGCTCTAGGCCCTGAGAAAATAGGCACCAGCCCCTCCAGCCCCTGACTGTAGCTGTCAGACTGTTTAGCAAGAGCAAGCCTTGGGAGACAGGGAGGGAGGAGCCTTCAACCTTGTAGACAGCTGAAAGGGATGTCGGTCTTAGAGAGGGCCCCTGGGCTCTGAAGTTGTACTGGGAGACCTGAGCTGCTAGCCTGGGGACCTAGAACTGCATTGGGATCTTGGCAGCCAGGTGCCAAGATCCCAATGCAGGACTGGGACTGGGGAGTCAACTGGTCCCCTGCTTCCACTCTGGAAGGAATCAGAGTGCTCTCTCCACCCCCAACTCCAGTTCTAGATTCTCATCAAGGCCCCAAGGAGTCAGTCAGCTGTGCCAGGAAAAGCCATTACCCTGACAGACTCTCCCACCTGCTAAAAGCTTCCTCCGCAGCCCCCCCCCCCTTCTCCCCTGGGCCTCCCTCCCCCCTTCCCTTCATCTCACTAAACTACCCTGACCACCTCTTGGCTAGGCTGGGGGAGACTTAACTCTTTCTGGTCCTAAGCAAAAGCTCTGTCTAACTTCCCACATCTTTTAACTCTGACTTGTTCCTGCAAACCCCCTAAAGCATGAATAGAGGAGGAGAGAGGGCGGGAGCTGGAGGGAGAAAAAGGGCTGTCGAGGGACGAGTCACGGGTTCCAATCTCAGCCCTGTCACTGGCCACAAGTCCACACCCTTGGCTTGATGTTTTCTATGCACCTGGAGTCACTTGAAACTCCCTAAGAGGCCCCCAAGGATGAGCCTGTGTGGGGGCAGATTTGTGATGTGTGCCGGTGGAGGAGGGCCTGCTTTCCTTCCCGTGTGTCCTTAGTTCACCCACGTTTCCACTGCCACTCTGCTGTCTTCCTCTGCCTCTGTCAGAGGTACAGAGCCCCAGTGCAGGAGGCTGAGGTGTCTCTGTGCACTTACATCGGTGCGGTGGGCTGATGGCAAAGCCTGGGAGCTCGCAAGTCTCTGGCTTTGCCAGTGTAGCTATACAAGAGAGAGAACGGAAGCACAGAATGGCAGGAAGAGCTCATGGGGCACCCTCCATCAGCCATGGTCACAAAGATAGGACAAAGGGATGGCAGAGGGGGAGGTGCACCAGACCTCCCCTGCTGGTGTGTGGTGTAGCTCCCCTCCTAAAGGCTGGGGTCGCCGGCTGCTCACCCATGATTACAGCAGTCACTGTAGCAACACCGTTTACAGGCTGAAAATAACGCAAGGATATTAACTCTTTCACTGAGCTGTCTAAGGACCCTGGATCTCTGGGAGACTCATCTCCCACACCTATGGGCTATCCTGTGCTCCTGCCTCACCTGCACACCCTGCCCCTGATAGCCTGAGTGCTCAAGGACCACGAAGCTCTCTCCTGCCCTATGCCCAGCTTCCAGTGTCCACCCCAGAGTTCTGTGGGTAGGAAAATAATATACCCCACTGGAGTGGTTCAGAATTGAGGCATCGGGGCCACCCTGGAACTCTGGGCCACACACTTAGAGAAATGAAAGCCAGGAGTGAGCAGCTTAGGTGGGTGGTACAGGGCCAACTGTTACCCAGAAGCATTCTCCCATTGAACAGACCTCCAGGGAAGAGGGTCCAGATGGGGTCCCTCATCTAGGCACCTGCCAGGAGCCCTCTTTGGCAAGGGGCAGGAAATCAGACAGATATGACATCTGCCCTGCTCTCACTTTGAGCTTCTGGCTCCTGCACCTAAGCAAAGGCCTCAGAAGTGGCCAGCGAGATGGTGTGGCCACCAAACAGGACAGCTGAGGGGAGAGGCCTGGCATTCATTGAGCCCAGGATGGCATGAGTGTCTATATGGGGAGAGCTGCCCACTTTCTGTCTACCCTCTCAGCACAGTGGAGTCCAGGAAGGGGTCACAGCAGACAGGAAGCCTCCCTCTAACTCAATTGCCCCTCCTCTCCAGAAAAACCACATCAGAGGAAGCCACCGCTCCCAGCCCCAAAGCAGTGACCTCTGTGACCTCAGAACCCACCAGAGCACCCATCTGGGGGGACACAGTGAAAGTGGAGATCCAGGCGGAGGATGCAGGACGAGAAGGTGAGACTGGGGGCTGGGGGCTGGCGTGTGGGAGGTACAGTGAACACAGCCCCACCAGCCATGGAAGGCAAAAGCAGCCTCCTCCCAACACAGCTGGAGATCACCTGAGCGCCTCCCTGGACTCCGATAAAAGCATTTAAAAAAATCATAATCCCATCACGCCTCATCTCCCCAGCCTGCTGGAAAAATGAGTTGTTCCACATAAATGAATTTTCCAGACAATGTGAGCTTATCGTTTTTTATGACGGTTGTTATTATTTTCATGGTTGTTATTACTGCCGTGTCCCACTGAAATGGCACGTTATAGTCTTGTGGCATGTCCCCACGCATCCATCATTAGAGTCACCACCTCCTAAGAGGAGCTATGCTACTTGGAAGAGAATGCTGGGACTTAGGGAATTTAAATAACACAAGTACTGGGTAAGCATAGGCAGACCAGGCATCTCAGATCACTGGAGCTCCAGGTTCTGCTGAGTTTGGGTTTGTTTGATTAATGTCTCTAGCTAGAAGGTATCTTTATCCCTGGCTAGTCTCCCCTTGGTCTTGGACCAGGTACCAGTATACACACTTGCAAGTGAGCCCTGTGTGTTTCTCACTGTGAGACCATTTAACATCTACCCCCAAGTGAGAGGTTGGGCTGGACACACTGAAGTACTGACTGCTGATGCCAGAACTGCTTGGGAGCACTGGCACTGGGCAGCCTGGGAGCACTGACACTGGGCAGCCTGGGAGCACTAACACTGAGCATCCTGGGAGGACTGACAGTGGGCATCCTGGGAGCACTGACACTGGGCAGCCTGGGAGCACTGACTGGGCAGCCTGGGAGGACTGACACTGAGCATCCTGGGAGAACTGACAGTGGGCATCCTGGGAGCACTGACACTGGGCAGCCTGGGAGCACTAGCAGCACAGAGCAGAGGTCCCCTGCCGTGTCCCTGGACTCAGCTACTCAGATCAGCATTCCCACTTCTTGCAGGCAGACTTACTGTCCTCCTTGCTCACCTCACAGAGCCAAAAGCTTACTATCAAGAGACTGTGGGGGGGGGGAGGTAACACATTGGGTTCCCACACACAGGGAGAAGGCTAGCTGTAGTTTCCTTCCTGTAAAAAGGAAAAAGTGGAGCTGTAGGGATGGTTTGAGAAGATATGAAAGAGAAGAAAAAAAAAAAACATCCTGGGATTTCACACAGATACACATATGTGCTTGTACACTTACACTTTTGTGGGGGTCTGTGTGCTGGCTCGTGTGTTTATGTGAACACCATTGCATAGTATTGCTGTCTGAGCTGTAGTCCCCCCCCCCATGTGTGTGTGTGTGTGTGTGTGTGTGCATGTGTGTGTGCATGTGTGTGTGCATGTGCATGTGTGTGTGTAAGTTAGCAGTGGTGGTAGGTGGACCCTGCCTTCTGCTATGCACAACTGGGGTGAGATGTGGAAGGGTGTGATGACGTCAGTAGACCTGAGTCTTTTGTGTAGCCAGAGGCAGGACCAGTAGCAGCAGAGACAAGAGGAACAGGAGGGTGAGGAGGCCACATGAATCAGAGAATATTGGCAGGCGCCTCTTTACAGACTGAAGTCGCTCGTTGGAACCCAGTTGGAACTGGTTGCTGTGGTGATATCTACAGCGGGTAGGGAATAGGGGGCCAGGCCAAGAGGCAAGAGGATTGGGGGGAGGTGGCTGGAGAACATGTTAATGAAAAGCAAAGGGGAATTTTAGACCCTGGGTCAAGGCCAAAGTGGGCGGGCAGCCAAAATGGCTTGTTGGCCACACAAAAGGAGTGGTGGGAAGCGGAAGGGCTCAGTGCCCAAGCAGGAAGCTGATGAAGCGTGTTTGAAACAAAAAGACAAGATCATGGAAGGAATGGGTGTCCATTCCCCCAGTTACAGCCCAAGGCCAGCTTCCTGCAAAAACAGGGTGTCCCAAGATAGGTAGATGCAGGGTCTCATAAAATCCTGATTAGTTTGGGGAACTCAGAGTCCATGGGGAGTGGGTGTGTGTTTACAGCTTCCTGGGCTTCTGTTGTCGGATCTTGGCTGGGAGTTCTGGGATCCCCCTGCAGAATCTTCCCAGGTCTGCTCAGAGATGGGTGAGTGTGTGGAGAGCTGCAGATGGTTAGCAAGGGGGAACTGGTGAGAGCCAGGGCAGGGCAGGGAGATGGAGGGAGGGAGGTCCTCATTTATAGTCCTGCCTCAGAAATCTTAGGAATTGGATAAGGTTTCCTTCTTTTCTGTTTGGTTATTTAAAGTATTAATGTTATACAGAAGCCCAGAGGGGCTAAATGAATTCCCAGAAGCCAGAAAGCAAATTAGCACCTTGGTAAGAGAACTCAGACCTGCTCACTTCAAATCCTGGAGGTGTTATACTTTCTTCTGGTCAATTGCAGGACCTTCCAGTGTCTCTTTCCTTCTGGGTGTGGGTCCCCTGTAGCCCACTCTTGGCAAGTGGCTTCCCCTCTCTGTGTATTCAGGGTGGCTGTAAGGAAGAATACTGAGAAAGAATGGCTTCCTACCCTCTAGTCACCCCACTGCGGGTGGGAGGGGCGCACAGGGCTGGGGCAGCAGCTGTCCGTGGTGCTTAAATGTGCTCTCAGGAACGGTAGCCCTCAAGCAGACTCCTTGTCCTCCCTACCCATCTTCCTCTGTATCTCTTTTAGCTTCTCCTTCTTCCAGCTCTATTTTCCCTCCCCATCCCTTTTTCCTTCTCCTCCTTCTTCCTTCCCCATCTCTTCTTTATTCTTAAAAAAAAAAATCACAGACTTCCAAGAACAGGAAAATGCATCAAGTCACTGAATCCAGCCTCTTTGCTGCCCATCTCCTAGCTTGTGATGCTGATCCAGTTCCATGGCCTCTCTGAGTGCCACCGATCATATTTTAGAGAGAAAGTTGATGATGCTTGTTATCAGAATTCATAGGAATAATAGCTATATACTTGTGATCACCATGCCTGGAACACAGCAGGTGCTCATGAGTGGGCACCATGATCATTTCCAGGATGCTGGCTTTCTCCTTAAAGTTTATCCTGATTTTAGGAGACAATGTGCTCTCTGGGAAGTGTTTACTAAGTGGTGTGTTGATCTTCATTCTAATTTCTTTGGAGTAGAGACTGGAAAAAATGGCTCAGTGTTTAAAAGCACCTGCTGCTATTGCAGAGGACCTGGACTCAGTTCCCAGCAGCCACATGGCAGCTCACATCTGCCATGGCTTAGTTAGAGTTTCTATTGCTATAAAGAGACACCATGACCACAGCAACTCTTAAAGAGGAAAACATTTATCGGCGTGACTTGCTTACAGTTTCAGAAGCTTAGTCCATTATCATCATGGTGGGAGATGGTGGCATGCAGGCAGACATAGTGTTGGAGAAGGAGCTGAGAGTCCTACAACTTGATCCAATAGCAACAGGAAGTGAATTGAGACACTGGGCATGGCTTGAGCATATATGAGACCCCAAAACCTGCCTCCACAGTGACACACTTCCTCCAACAAAGCCATATCTCCTAACAGTGCCACCCTCTATGAGCTTACAGGGTCAATTACATTCAAAATACCAAGTTCCATTCACTGATCCCCATAAACTTGTAACAATACCAGAAGGCAAAATGCATTTAATCCAACTTCAAAAGTCCCCATAGTCTATCACAGTCTCAACAATGTTTTAAAGTCCAAAGTTCAAAGTCTCTTCTGAGATTTATGTGGTCTCTTAACTGTAATCCTCTATAAAATCAAAATAAAAAGTAGATTACATACTTCCAACATAAAATGGCACAGGATATACATTATCATTCCAAAATGCAGAGAAGGGAGCATGATGAGGAAATACTAAACCAAAGCAAGATCAAAAACCAGCTGGGCAAACTCCAAACTCTGCATCTCCATGTCTAATGTCAAAATGCTCTTCAGAACTTAAACTCCTTTTAGCTTCATTCACTGCAACACACTTCTCTCTCTTGGGCTGGCTCCACTCCCTGCTTGCAGCTCTCCTCGGCAGGTATCCCACAGCTCTGGCACCTCCAACATTTTAGAGTCTACAAGACAATCCAGGCTTCAACTTCACAGCTTCATGCAATGGCCTCTCTAGGCCTGCATTCAGAGATACCCCTGACACATGCCTAGCCTCAGCAGCTCTCCTTAGTCACTGAGGAATAATGGAGGAATATCCTATTACCCCTCTCTTCTATCCTTAAAGCCAGAACCACGGGGCTGAAGCTGCCACGTTCTGCTGCTTGCTGGAACTAGAACATGGCCCCCTTGTTCAGTTACACCTTGACCAGCTTTCTGTTTTCTTTCATTGCCTAAGCTTGACGGTCCTGAAACTGGATCTGTAGACCAGGCTGGCCTCAAACTCAGAGATCTGCCATTATAAGTCTTCATTACAGTTACCACTAATAACCACATGACAGAGTCTATACTAGGCTGTTTTGAGATTCCCTCTGCCAATGAAATTAATCCAAAACTCTTCACTTTAGCCCCAGTCAATCTTCAGACAAGGGCAAAAAGCAGCCACATTCTTCACCAAAATATCATAAGAATGATGTCTAGGCCACATATTAATATTATTCTCCACATATTAATATTCTTTTCCTCTGAAACATCTTGAGCTGTGCCCCCACAGTTCATCAAATCACCCTCAGCACCACTGTCTTCTATGTCCTACCAGTATGGCCCATTAAGCAGCACTTAAAGCATTCAACTGCTTTTCTAATCCACAGCCCCAAGGTCTATATTTTTCCAAATAAAAACATTATCAGGCATATCACAGCAATAACCTACTCCCTGGTACCAACTTTTGCCTTAGTTAGGGTTTCTATTGCTATAAAGAGACACCATGAGCATGGCAACTGTTATAGAGGAAAACATTTTATTGGGGTGGCTCACAGTTCAGAGGTTTAAGTCTATCATCATCATGGTGGGACATGGTGGCATGCAGGCAGACATGGTGCTAGAAAAGGAGCTGAGAGTTCTACATCTTGATCCAAAGGCAACAGGAAGTGAACTGAGACACTGGTCATGGTTTGAGCATATATGAGACCCCAAAACCTTCCACAGTGACACACTTCCTCCAACAAGGTCATACATACTCCAACAAAGCCATAACTCCTAATAGTGCCAATTACATTCAAACTACCACACCACACTCCAGTTCCAGGGAGTGTGACACCCTCTTCTGGCCTTTGCAGGCACAAGGCTCTCAAATGGTGCACATGCGTACATGTAGGCAAACACTCGTTCACAAAAAAAATGAAAATAAATAAATTTTAACCTCCCAAAAGAACTGAATTTACTTGGAGTAGGCTTTTTTAACTATTATTTTTGTTTTATGAGTGTGGGTGTTTTGTTTGCCTGCATGTCTGTGCATCACATGCATGCAGTGTCGATGGAGGCCAGGAGGGGACATCAGATCTGGAACTGGAGTTACCAGTGTTGTGAGCTGCCATGTGGGTGCTGGAAATTGAACCCAGGTCCTCTGGAGAGCTGCTAGTACTCTTGACACTGAGCCATCCCTCCAGCCCCATGGAGTGGACTTTTATAGGTTCTTATATTGAGAGCTTTCTTGAGTAGATTGTTCTTCTTTACTGAGCCTCTGTTTCCCTCCCTAAAACATATGGGACACACTCCTTTCTGTCCCACCTGAAGAGCTGGCGTGAGTGCCTATGACTAAGGGAAGGGGTCTTAGTCCTGCAGGTGGCACTATTACTGCTTGCCTGTAACACTGTGCTCACCTATGTCTATTGCCTCATGGGACTGGCCTTGGTCTTATGTGACCATTCTGGGGCTCAGAGGTTCTTCACATTTGGAGGTTCTAACAGCATATGACATGGAGTCTTGCCCTGGATAGAAATGCAGATAATGCCTGGGGGTGGGGGTTATAGGCACATGTGTGTTCCCTACATGTACATGTGTTGTGTGACTTTCCCTGGGGAAACAAATGTGTTTACCCCAGGTGGTGTACCATGACAAACTAATGATTCCTCTCAAGTCCAGCTTGATGGGCCAGAAAGTTTATTTAGGTTACTTCAAGGAAGGAGTTACTCTATTAGCTTCCTTCCCCGTTGCTGTAGTAAAACACTGGCCAATAACAACTTGGGGAAGAAAGGGTTTATTTGACTTATAGGTTACAGTCCATCATCAGGGGAAACCAAGGCAGGAACTCAAGACAGTAGCTTAGACAAAAATCAATAGAGGAAGTCTGCTTACTGGCTTGCTCACTACTTTTCTTATACAGACCACGCCCATCTGCCTAAGGATGGTACCACCCACAGTGGCCTATATCAATTAACAATTAAGAACATGCCCCCAAAGACATGCCTACAATTCAATATGATGGAGGCAGTTCCCCAACTGGTGGTCCTTCTTCTCACATGACTCTAGTTTGTGCCAACTTGACAAAAACTAACCAGTGCACTAACATGAACATGGGTGACTCAAAGGCAGTGGTATCACTGAAAAGCCCACCCTCAGCATGGGAGGCCACTCACAAAGGCTGCATCTGTGGAGCTTCTGGCCCAGCCTGCAGGCAGCTCCACCAGAGTCTCCTTCTACCAGTAACTGTGGGCTGCTGTTGTAGTTTTAGAGAGGGGCTTGCGAGTGTTGTAGTTTTCTGAGCCTTTTCATTACATGGTTTTCCTGAGTTTTATGAGCCTCCCTCCTCCCTCCAGAAGGGAGTGTTTAATTCTGTGAAAAGGGCCACACAAGGAAAGGCATGCGTTCCTCCATGTGTTCCGTTACCTGGCTGTCTCAGCAACGTTCCTTGCCTCTCACTGTCTCCCATCACTGGGAAAGCTCCTTCCCCACCCCCCACTCTCTCCAGGTGTCATCCTCAAGGTGATGGACAACAATAAGAAGGAGGAGCTGGTGTCCTATGAAATCCCCATTAAATACCTGCGTGTATTCCACCCATACCACTTTGAGTTTAAAAAGGTAAGCCCAAGCAAGCCCTGGGCTCTGAGCCTAACCTCTGGCTGGGTAGGGGAGATCTGATGGGAGGTAAGTGCTTTGATATTCCCAAATATTCTCTAAGAATAGAGTTGAGGGTGGGCCCAGGTCGTGCTCCTCCTAAGCCAGAGATATGGGAGTATAAATTTGGTAGGCAAAACATTCTCCAGAATGAACCCTGTCAGGGGGACAACTGAATACCAAACTGGAGTAGAAATTCCAGCCTCTCAACCTTGGACTAGACTCCTTAGTGCTGGCTGGTGAAGGGGGAGTCACTCTCATTGCTCAATAATTTATTAAGCACCTACTGAGTACCTGGTCCTGGACCACAGAGGAGTAGAAGCATCCCTTTGCTTTCCTCCAGCATGCACTCCAGAACCTTTCCTTCCAAAGGAAAGGACAATGTGAGAGAAGATTGTCTGGGCTCCTGTCCCAGGTCTGCCACTTAAAGCTGTGTGCCCCTAGGAGGCCACTTTGCTCCAGACCTCCATTGCTCCCTAGCAAAGGCAAAACAAGACACATCTGGACAGGCTCCAGTGTGGTGCTGGGTGACGTGCTGGCACACGGGAAGAACTCAGCGTGTGTGGCTCCCGTCCCTACTCCTTCCCCCAGGCCTTGGCATTCACCTTCCTGCCAAGCAACTCTTCAGCTATGGTGCCAGAGATCACTATCCCCCCTGGGGCTCCAGGACTACAGAAGGGGCGTCAGGGCAGGCAGGAAAGCAAAGATCCCAAGAGACCCTGGAGGTAGCCCTAGACCTGTCTTCTGGAGCATCGGCCAGGCCCCTAGCCCTCTAACCACTTAGACCCCAGGCCTCCTTATCATATCTTCACCAAGAGTGCAGGCAGGCGGTAGTCCCTGCGAGGGCAATGAAATATTCAAACGGAAAAGGGGAGATTTATTGGCTGATCTTCTTGGAAGGGCTCCCAGGGACCATGAGCTTTAATTACAGCTGGAGTCCCAGTGGTACAATGATAAGCAAGTGTCCACACAGGGCTGGATTTATGGCCAGGCCCTGCCCCTTAGACATTCTCCTTCCTGTGCATCTTCTGTCTCCATGCTGTCTTCACCCCATGCAGTCTGAGAAAGCTGATGATGCCACGGCCAAGACCCGCCTCTACGCCACCGTGGTTCGGAAGGGCAGCTTGCTACCCCAATACATTGGCTGTGACCATACAGCTCTGGAGGTACCAGCACTGGGGGACTGTGGGGACTGTGGGGACAGGTGGAGCCCTTGACTGCCTCTGACTGGCCTAAGAGGATGGAGCAGAGGTGTTTAGGGAAGAAATCAAAAAGGGCAAAAGCAATGAGGCTTTTCTAAATCAGCCACAGTGGGAACAGTGAGATGGCTCAGTGGGAAAAGTGTTTACTGTGCAGCCCTGATGGCCTGAGTTCAATCCCTGAAATACACACAGAGAACACACAGGTTGTCCTATGGCCTACACACACACACACACACACACACACACACACACACAACACACACACACACACACACACACACACACACACACACACACACACACACACACACCATGACACAAGCACACCTCCCACACACAAACAAACATCCCATATACACACAGTAAGAATAAGTTTAAAAAAACATTAAAAACATCAACAAAATAGTCGAGTTTGTGAAGACAATCCTTGACTGGGACAAAAGTGCCCTGGCCTCTCCTTCCTATATTACCCTTGGATGGAGGAAGAAGGGACTGAGTGACAGCTGTGTTCCTCGTGTGCATTTCAGGGAGCAACACAGGCTCCCTCGGATTTTGCACTCCTAGGAGCAAGGAAAAGTCCATCTTCCATACCGTGGTCCAGCCCCTGGCTGTGTTCAGTCCTGTTCTTCCCTGCTGGGGCCTAAGACTCCCAGACAAGCCTGTCATCTCCCTGGCCCTTCCTGAAGTCTGGCTGGTCTACTGCTTGAGCATTTACAATCTCATTCACTCACTCATTCTCCCAACACCTCATCCCCTGGGCAGACCAAGCGTGGGCCATACCATGATCTTTCACCTTTCAGCCCAAGGACAGCTTCAGGAGGAATGATTGATGCTGGAGACAGATGTGGCCCAGGCACCTGGGCCCTGAGCTTTTCCCTAGGCAACAGATTCACATCCACAAGTGCCTGTGTATGATCCACAGGACTCTGACTCTAGCCTTCTCCTACCCCAGCAGACCTGATCTGATCCCTTGCCATGGGGCACCATGAGCCTGGTAGAGCAATAGCTGATCTCTAGTCCCATGTCACATCCGGGGACACTGAGACCCAAATGAGTCTTATATAAGAGCACAGAAATCCTGAACAACCTCTCTGCTTCCTCCACAGCCACCCCTTGGGTGTGGTATCTCTTCCGTCTGGCCCCTTTCTAAAGCAGCCAGTCACTCCAACATATGGAACAAGAAAAAGTAAAGTCAAGATGGCTGTGCTGTCCACAAACTTCATCCAGGGAAGGGGCCCCAGGACTGTGGACCTGGCCCACCCCTGACTCAGTCTTCTGACTTGTCTAATAGAGTCTGAGCCCCCCTGCCCCCAGCAGCCCGCTCACCCATACCCCGCTCAGCACAGACCTTCCTCCCGAATATGTCACAGGCACAGGCACAGAAGCACCTGTCTGTTACCGATGGTAGACCAGGAGACACAGTGAGAAAAGAAATTGCTTCAGCTACTCACTAGGCTGTCACGAGCAGATGTGGTACAGCTGTCTCATTCACACCTGGCCAGAGTCAGCACACAACAGGTGTAAATTATCCCTATCCCCTACAGACACGCCTAGACCATTACCTTCAGCCTTCATACCTGTTGGAGTTCTTGTGAGCCATAGAGCGTGACAGCTCTCCGCTGACATCAGAGGCTCACTGGGAGGCCCCACTGAGAGCCACAAGGCACTAAGAACGATTTAAACGCTTATCAGTTCACACTGGCAGTCCAGCAGAGATGGGCCCGGACAGAAAGGCCTTAGGGGATGGTCATGAAGTGAGGGAGGTATCCAGAGCAAGCCCCAGCCCTGGACTTCTTTTCCCACGGATGCCAGAGCTAGAAGACCCAGACTCTCAATGCACGGGTTGGGAAACTGAGGCCTAAAGAGGGTCTGAGTCTGGCCCAGGTTTCCCAGCTGGGGCAGACCCAGCGAGGGAATGAGCCCCCCCCCCAGCTGTGTCCAGGGGCCCTGCCCTTCCTGCCTTTTTTCCTTAGGACCTAGCCATCATCTGAGGCCAGTTCAACTCCACCCTCCCTAAGGCCACCATGTCTCTCCCACTCTGTCCCCGGGACTCTCTGTTCTTCCATCCTTCTCCTTAACACTCAGAAGCATAGACGCACCTCTCCATCATTCTCCCTTTCCCTCTTTAATGCCACCAACATTGTTGACTCCTCCCCCCCACCCCCCACCCCCCACCCCCGTGCACCGCCATGCCAGGTTCTGTGTTAAAAGCAGGGAATACAACGGTGAACGGGATGCGTGTTTCCGCGCATGCCAGTCATATCAATCAGAAAGTGAACAAGAGCTGAGAAGCTCCAGTTCTGGTGATTGATGGCTACAGAGGAGGAATGCAGAGACCAAGAAAACGGGCTTCTTTGGTGACGAGAAGGGAACCAGGGATGGTGCCACAGAACCTAGAGGAGGAGAAGCAGCTGTCGGGATAAATCGGCAGAGGATGGGGGTGGGGAGGCCCAGGGATGTGCTAAAGCAGAAGCAAGAACGTGTTAGGAGAGGAAAAGACCCCAGCAGAAAGAGGGGTCTGGGAGCCGGCCGGGGATGTGGGCAGAGGAGCAGACAGGCCAACACCCACAGGCATTGGCAACATGGCAAGACTGTGAAAATGAGGGCTTCCCCCGGCGACGCCGACCCCAAGGCTTGCCTTCTCAACCACCGCTTGCTGGGAAAAGCACTGCGGTGAACAGCCACCAGGACTGTTCAAATCAAACAGTGCCCCGTCCGTCCGTCCATCCGACCTCTGACGCTGGACTGGGAAACTCAGCACAATTAGAGAAACCATTCCTGGGTTTAGTGTCCTCAGTTTACAGCGTGTCCTCTCATACCACAGTCTAATCAGAGAACCCGCTCTTGTAACCCGGGAGGACCCGTGACCAGAGTTTTGCCCCAGTAATTGTCTGGACCTCCTCCCAGGCCCAGACTCGTGCTTATACACCTTGTCCCTCAGGGCAGCTGAATTCCAGGAGTGCCCCTAGGAAGCCAGGGGCACTTGCCCCAGTCAGACCCAGAGGGTGACTTCCTGAAGTAGAGAAGCCTTGAGCAGAGCAAGAAGCAAGGGAAGCAGAGACAGGGAGGGGCAGGTCCCAGGGATGGGTAGAGGCATGATGATCATGTGATCATGGCAGGTGGGATGGGAGAGATGTCAGAGGCAGGGCGGGAGGGGGGCTGGCTGTGGCTCAGGGAGGGACACAAGCCGTGGGCCTTCACCTGCCTCCTCTTCTCCAGGTCTTCCTTCGGGGGATCAACGAGCCCCTGGTCAACAGCCCCAACCCCATGGTGGTGATCGCTCGGGTGGTTCCCAGCTACACGGAGTTTAAGTAAGTGGGTGCAGGTGAGGAGGGCGGGGAGGGCAGAGATCTGGGGTGGGGAAAACTTCCACTCCCCTAAGTTCCCTGTAAGCTCCCCACACACCTTGACCTGAGGCTCTAGTGAGCTTCCCATAGCAGACTTTGTCTTTCTCTTCCAGAAGATCCTGAGCCCTGGAAAGGGAAAGTGGGGTTCTCTCCTGAGATTTCCGAGCATGTAGGGCCAAAGAGCAGGAAGGAGCTGGTGTTAAGGAGCCTAAGAGAGGCCCCTTTCCCTGCCCAGGGGCACCTATGCCCCCTCAGACAAGCCTCCCATCCCAAGCTCACCACCCCATGGCCCCCTTTCCCAGTCAGGTTCAAGGTTCCAAGGATCCTGCTGCTGCTGCTGGTCCCCAAAGTAGATGACCTAAAGCCGTCTTGGAACATTAGTCCTACCTGGGAATGTCCTCTCTCAGTCACCTCCTGGAGGTGTCTGCCCCAGGCCCAGCTTGTCCCCCACTGTTTCCAGACCTCCGTTAGAGTCAGTCCTCAGGAAAGGATTCAGGACAGTTTAACCACTGAAAGCTCAAGAGAAGGCTGTTCTTCAGGCAACGTGTGCTCTGTGACAGCGCATGTCTCGAAGTCGGCTGTCTGCCCGTCACTGCCCAAGCTGACCTCCTGGCTCATCTACGGCTCTGAGGAGTTTTTATACCCCTAAAACCTCACTTCCCTATTGGAGGTGTGCAGATCACAAGTGTCCTACTGCAATGATAATATACCAATGGGCCCAAACTGCACGCATGTGTGCACATTACCCCACAGGCTCTTTACCCCTTAAAGCACAAGCTAGGATTCCCACAAGTCAGGAGGAATTCAGATAAAGACCTTCACAAATGAGGTGGGGAAGGCGAGGCCCATTTTAAAGATGGTAAAGCTGACTTGCTCTGATACAGCCAAGGTCACCTCAAGTCACCGCTAAGGGAGCCTGAGGGCTACAGCTGTCATCTCCTGACCAAGACCAGCCTTCCCAAGGCTTGAGCCAGAGACACCAGCGTGTTTGTCACAAGGTCCTGGCTTAAATGAGATGGCTCCCTGTCCTCTCGCCCACACCTCACCCCAGAGTCCAAGTGTGAGTCCCAGCTGCCAGGCTGGCCACAGGTCAGAACGTGCCAACTCCTGTCTCCTTGCCTCTCCAGGGCCAGCCAGGCCAGGCGGGACCCTGCCTCTGTGGGGCTGCCCCTCACCCAGATTTCTGTCCCTATCTCATCACCAATGAACTTTGATGTGCCTCGGGTCAGTCAGAACGGGTGTCCTCAGGTATGGCTCCTTCCCAACCACGGCCCCTCACTGGAGTATACTAGAAACAGACCCATTCATTCATCATGACATCAGCTGGCAGCTCAGCTGACTACTGAAAGGCATTCGCTACATCTCACTAAGCCCAGAATCCGCTCCTGTGTGCAACACAGAACCTGCCCTCGGGACTCCCGGAGATACTAAACATCCGCCCAGATCATGTCTAATCTAGTAACAAGCCAGCAGGGACTATCAGAGCTGTGACAGGCAGAGAAGAGGAGACACAAAGGACAAATAGTATGGATTCCACCTGCCATGGGGCACCTCAGATTAACAGCCATAGGGACAAGATCTACAATAGTGTTAACAAGGGCTAGGGAGATGAGAGAGCAGGAAGCTACAGACTTGCAGGCATGAAACACTTAGGATGATGTGTGGACGTGCTTGTTTGTGTGTACACGTGTGCGTGCGTGCGTGCGTGCGTGCGTGTGTGTGTGTGTGTGTGTGTGTGTGTGTGTGTGTGTGTAGAACAGAGGTCAGTGTATCCAGGGTTCTCTACTTTATTGTTTTCGTATTTTTGAGATTTGGGGGAATGTGTGCTCACATGCCACAGAACAAGTATGGAAGTCAAGAGGTCCACTTATAGGACCGTTCTCTCTTTCCACCATATGGGTCCCAAGGGCCGAGCTCAGGTCATCAGTCTTGGCAGCAGGCACCTTTACCCACTGAACTATCTTACCAGCCCTTCTTCACCTTATTTTTTGAGACAGAGTGTCTCACTGAACCTGGCGCTCACTGACTCAGCTAGACTGGCTGGCCAGCAAGTCCCAGGGACCCTCCTGTCTCTGCCTCTCCGTGCTGGGATTCCAGGTGCTCACCACCTTGCCTGCTTTTTTATATGTGTGCTGAGAACAGAGCTCAGCTCTTAGCAGGTCTTTACAGAATTGGCCATTTTCTCAACCCCATAATACATTTTTAATCAGAGAAGAGGAATGTTGATGTCTGGATGGTTAGGGAAGGCGAGTCTTGACCCTCCACCTTGTTTTTGAGACAGGGTCCCCTTATAGATGCTCCATCTGCCTGCCTTACCCTCCCAGCCCTGGTAAAATAGGCATGTGCCACTATGCCACCCTAGTCATCATTTTTTAGGGTTTTTTTCCTTTTTAATTCATTCTTACTGTATGTATATACATCACATAGGGAGAGGGCATCTGTACCACAGCACACATGTAGAGGTCAGAGGACAGCTTTGTGGAACTGGCGTCGTTTAGGTTCCAGAGATCAAACTCAGGTGGCAAGCCTTGACCAAAGCCTCTAGCACTGAGCCACTTCGCCAGCGCATTGGTCCTGATGTGTTGCTATGAAAGGAATTGGTCCAGGGCAGTGAAAACACCTGTATCGTATAGTATATGGTATAACCCAAGGTGTAGTGCATGTTGGGAATGGGCAGGAAGGCATATGTTTAAATATGCGGGAGAAACAGGTCATGGCTGGGCCCAGGAAATGGCCAGATTGACCTCCTACAGACTGCATGCCACTGGGAGCTTGCTGTGTGTGATGGAGGAGGCTTGGAAGACAGGGTGTTCTTGGAAGTCCCTCCTGACATCTGCCCACTAAAATTAGAACTAGACACTCTGTTGGAGGCCCGGCTTTCATTTAAAGGCAGGCCTTTAAAGAGGCTCAGGCACAGGCAGGGGTGGTGATAGGCAGGGAAGGGTGGGATCAAGGGGAATCACGAGGAACAGCTTCAAAACCAAACCAATCCTCAGCCTGATTTCCCCAGAGTCATCTCACACATGGCCCTGCATTTGCACGGGAAATTATGAACCGATCAGCAGCCGTCCCAAGGGGCAGGAGGTACTGCCTGCTCTAATGAGTGAGCCTCTCCAGGCCTGACCAGTGGCTATCTCCACTGCCTAACTCCACATGAATGGGGGAGGCACTCCTCACGACAGACCTCCCCAGCACTCTGCTCACATGTGGGCCTCAAGGCCAGAGCCCAGCAATAACAAGACACTTGCTAAAGGTTACCCAGTATGGCGGCAGCTGGATGAGGTGTAAAGCTGCATGCAGCCTGTGCAGAGATGCCCAGGGGCCAGCAGGGAAAACAAGAGAGGAACAGGCTGGGAAGTGAGGGGAGTCTGGTCAGGAACCCTGAGCCTAGAGAGCACACTGTCCCCTGCCCTGCCTGTCCTGAGCCTCTCAACTTTACAGTTGATGGAGTGGGGGCTGAACCAGATAATTTGTCTGGTCCCCTTTGACATCTTGGAGCACTGTGAGTTTCCCACAAACCCCTGGGCAGGGGCTACTAGACCCTGAAGACCTAGGTTGGCATCTAGCTCTGTGGCTTGTTAGCTGTGTGACCTTCGACAAACTGTATGATTCCTCCAGACCTATTGACTCCTACCTGACTAGGCTGTTAGAATGAAAAGGCTAACCCAGGCTAAGAGTCCCCTCCATCCCCTGCAGAGCTTCACACCCTTTATGATAAATACGCCGCCCGAGGCCAGCCTTATCATTGCACCTGATGTCTGTGGGGAACCCCACAGAAACCCCAGTCTCAGCATTGGATGCTACAGGGTGATCACCCTTAAGGACTTGACCTCTAACACCTAGCAATGACCATTTGGGCAACTAACTGCTCCTGGGAGCAAAATGTCCTAGGTTTCTGGCCCAGATGCGATCAAAGGCTAGTAAAGAGCTAGGTTTTTATGAGAAACTGGCAACTAACCCCTCCCACTAAGTTTCCCACCAACCTTCCTTCTGGTCTCATTGGCCAGAATCAGGTCACCAAGCACTTCCTTGAGCCAATCACTGAGGAGGGTGTGGTTCTGGCTTGCTGATAGCCTAAGCCAGTGGGTGTGAAGAAAGGAACCACCTGGATAAGAGGACTCTCTACCTTTTGCTGTGAGGCAAGGAGGACAGAATGTACCAGGGCACCCCAGTCTGTTCCAGTCCTCCCCCTGGCTTGGACGGCAAAATCTGAGCTCTGATGGTCAAGGGATGGGTCAAGCTCTGCTGGTTGGACATAGATTTGGATGCTGGACCCACTGCTTGCTCCTACAGCTCACAACCTGCAGAATTGGGGCAGAACTCCCAAGAATGAAACAGATGGATGGAAAGAGCCGCCTGTGCCCATCATCTCTTCCCGTCCCATCCCCACAGCCAGTCTTCCCAAGCTCTCTCCGTCTTTCCCATCACCCTGGACTCACTCAAGTACTGGCTGCCTTTCTTGCCTGGGCCACTGCAGCAGCCTTCCTGTTCCAGCCTAGCTAATTTGTTCTCTGAGAAGCAAGTAAAGCATGCTCTGCCCTGAACCACAGGCTTCCCTGGGAGCCTGCAACCCTCACACACGGGACCACGCCCTCACTAGCTGTGTGCTGTTCATCCAGACACAGACCTCATCGCTCCAGTTCTCACCCAGCCTCAGGGAATTCGCTCACCGTTCTCCCCATCTGTCCTCTCTCCACTCCAACCTTGACCTCAACCCTCAGCTCTTCCCTGCCCCAGATAAGAGGTGGCTTTCTCCTCGAGTATCCTAATTAATTGCTACCATAATAACTTGCTCAGGCCTCTGCATGATAGCAGGAGTGGGTGGGTTTTACTCACATGCATGTATATGATCCATACTCTTGGAAGATAAGCTCTAGGAAGAGACAGAGTCTGCCTCTAGCTCTCCCATAATCCCTGCAGTACCCTGCATACAAGTGTCCCAGGCAACGTTTGCTAAGTTAAGTCAAACTGAACTTTTGCATACTAGAAAAATATCCATTGTCTCCTTCAACCTTGCAAAAGGCTTTCAAAGTGTGAAGCACAAGGCATTTGAGGGGAAAAAAAAAAAAACTAGGTCCCAGAGAGGGGAAGGGACCCACTGTGATCCAAACAATAAGCTTAAAGTGGTCCCTGGGCCCTGAGCCAAGGGTCCTAGCTTGTTGGAAGCCCCAGCCAGCCCAGCAGCCAGCAGCTCTTGCTCTCAGCATGACTTCACTGTGCCGGGGCAGAACAGACAGCAATGTGTGAGCATGAGAGTGAGGGTGAGCCCAGAGGAAACAGGAGGAGGAGGAGGAAGGAACAAGGGCCCATGGAATGAAGGCTCTGTCCCCAGGGAAGGCAGGTCTGCCTCAGTGGCAGAGGGTTAATGGCTTTTCTGAAGATCACAGCTGAGGGTTAATCGTATTCCTTAATTCCGAAGTCCACCCTAGCCTTTCCCGTCAGCATCTTCAGGCATGTCTACCCTACGCCCACCCCACCTCCTCACTCCTGCACAGCATGCAGACCAGCCACAGCACTCTCATCTCCACAGGGCTGATAACAGATTGTTATTTAACCTTGAGTCACACACACACTCATGTTTGTACCAGAGAGGGAGAAAGAGAGAGAATATGTGGGATTCACCCTCCCAAACTCTAGGTATGAAAGGCTTTCTCCTGGGGCACTTACTCTGGGAACCCTTTCAGGGAAAAGGCTGTCCCTCATTGGGCAGGCAGCCACTTACCACCTCTTGCCATGTAGACTCCATTTAGACCTGTTAATAAGTCCCACAGCAGACAGCTAGTATCCATTAAATAACCCTTCCCCAGGATAGGGGCAACAAATGAGGCCCCAGGAAACCAAGTCACAGTCCTTCCTCCCCGAGGGCCTTGGGGCCTGGCAGCTGGTCCAGACAATGTGGATACCCTTCTCTGATACCCAGGATATGGGAGGGTCAGTGTGGGGATCAATCCTGAAAGATCAATACCAAGCTCCGCAGAACTCACATCTGGCTTCTGGGGCCTAGAGTGCTCACCAGGTGGCTATCCCCAAGCTTCCAGCACGATGTCTTAGGGATGTGCCTATGACTCCAGTGCTATCCTAGTGTTCATCTGTCCCCGAGTTGACCACAAACCATCTCCTTGGGGACAGGGAAAGATTCAGCCAGGCCTTGGGCAAGGCTCCTGAGGACCAGAGCAAGCCCATCAAGTGTGACAGGTGCGAGGGCCCCACCCAATCAGGAGGAGTAGGCCCCTCTCCATCTAGCCTCAGTAACTCCTGGAGTGTTTGTGCTGACCTTTTCCTGTGGTTGCTAATCCCCTCAGGGGAGCAGGAGGCAGGACCACTGCCACTGTGCCTGACAGCCCCTGACAGGGCAGAGACGAGGCAGACCATGCCGAGACCATTCAGGGTGTCACGCTAAGAGTTAGAGGCTATTTACCCACCTTCCTATTTATATGGATTTTCCATGAGTCCCCCAACCCCGTTCTGGGGTCCTTCACAATGGCTGAGCTGTGTGCCCCTCCACACTCTGTTGCTTGGTCATTTTCCCACCTAGAAGACCCTTTCCTCTTCGTTCGCCTTGCCACATCTTCCTTCAGAGCCGCCTCTAGGCCTGCTTCCTTTGAGGGTTTTGGACCAGCCAGTCTCCCTTCTCTGGGCATTGGTCAATGCTGTCGCATTTTATCATCCAAGCCATCCCCATGTGTGTGCTCCAGCTGCTACCTGACAGCGCCTTCAAGTCACCTGAGTCCCCAACAGCCTGAAGCCAGATAAAACCAGCTTCTGGAATCTGAAGACCTGTGTGGCCTTCTGAACGGGGCTGGGGTAACTTGTATGGAATAGAAAGGGGCTGTGGATGTTGGCACAACACTGTGAAAACACTACACACATCTAGCCAGTACCTTAGAGCATGAAAAGAATTTCACTGAGCAGCACTTTAGCTATTTGTACTGAGAAAATCGTCTGGGATACAGAGGTATGTGGCAAAGAGCATCCAGCACAGTGTCGTCAGTGGGAAAAGCCAGAAAACGGGAGAGCAGAATGGCTCAGAGGGTTAAGGCATCTGCTGCCACACTGGACAATATGAGTTTG